TCAGCATTAAAATTAATTAAATTTTTAAACAGTGATAGTTTCAAACATTGCATAAGCTAACAGTTGCAAAAGTCTTCAAAAATAACAGAGCTTAAAATTTTTGGACAAAAAAGAAAGATGAAATTAATTTCAACGTATAATCAGAATATGTCCGATTATATCGCATTGCATTGTATCATTCGTATATTCTAAATAAATAATTTTGCTTTCAGAATTTCATTTATACTAAAATAATTTTTATAATACAGCGAAATATTTCATTAATTAAAAATTTATTCATTCTGTAAAAGTTTAATTCCAGAGATTATTTGCAAAATATTATCACAGATGCACTAATTAATTAATTAATTAATTCTTCAATACGCTGTCGATTACAATGATCGCAGATAATTCTTTGAAATGAATGTTTTAAATATTTCAGTTATTCCATCTTCCATTATTTATACTACAGTACAAATTTTATGGTAAATAAAATTATTGCAATGAGGAAGTGTGAATGATTTGCAACGTTTAATTTAACAATGTAGAATTAAAAATTCATAATGATTTATAATTTTTCATAAATTTTATTTTAAATTCAGTGGAAGAATTCTTTCTACTAAATGAAGTTTGTAAAAACGTTTATCAACTATTTATCAACTAATTTGTAAAAACGTTTATCAACAATCATTTCTATAAAAAGGTTCTAAATTTGCCATAAAATAATAGGTATAAGAAAAGAATTATAATTGTCATTTAAATTCATCCAGAAAAAACAAGAAAATTGAATTATGAAATTAAATCGAATTGTTGAAAAAGGAGAATAATTTTAGATTGTTTCATTTAATTTTATTATGTGATCGGATGAATAAAATACAGAAAGTATTTTCTCTAAAATTAAATGAAACAATCTATACAAATGGTTAGCCAAGTAATCAAATAGAAACAATGCAAATATGTCAAATGAGCCAAATGTTGAGCCACGAAGAAAAAAAAAAGTTATATCGAATAAAATTTCAAATTTCTTAAACTTGATTTTCATTTTCAATTTTTTTTACACCGTGACTGGTAATTTGATATTGGTACATTTTAGATAGTTGGCATTTATTGGCCAGCAAAAAAAAAAAGAAAAAAAAATTGAGCAGAGCAGTTCAACTATAAACTCTATACAATACGTACCAATAGCTCTAAAAAATTCCATAAACTAATTTAGGATAAAATTCTCTGAGATTTCCCACATTTATCATTATAATAAAACCGGATCAAAGTACTTTCTGAAACGATACAATCAAGCTAATTAATCCGGATTTCCTTGTCGAGCAATGACTTTCGACAAGAGAATACAAATATGCACTAATAGTACCAAAAGCAGCATTTATACTTCTCAAAATACCTAACCATCATGCTGATAAGTCTTGTGTTTTTGCATAAGCAACGGTTATCCGAAAAAAAAAAAAAAAATGACAAAAAATGCTATTTTTATTTCATAATTTTAATCATTCTATGTCTATAAATTATTGTTATTATTTCATTTCATTTTTTTTTTCGAATAATTTTAAAAACTTCCAAAGCATATCAACAAATAAAAGTAGAAATTGATTTTATTAATTGTATTTAGCAAAATTTCTCGAAAGAAAAAGAGTACGCCATCAAATCTAAGCACAGTCATATACAATTAAGTAAAATAATATAGGCCATTTGACAATTGTATGTTGTACGAAAACTTGAATATTTCCTGCAAGATTCAATCTTTCTTGTTTATCTGAAAAATTTCAAAGTCTCAAATTAGTTCAAATAAAAATTAAACATTAAACAAATGTTGTTTGTTTCGTTTAGAAAAAAAAATGCTGCTTAATTAAGTAGTTAATTTTTTCAATAACTTAGATAGGATTATGAAAAAGGAAAGATGTTGTTGTTGTTATACTGAAAAAAATAAAAAAGAATAGCTTTGGGAAGAAAAAACATTCAAACAAATTGATCATTGATTGAATTAATTAATCTTTTCTTTATTAATTATTCACTCATCATAATTCTTTCACTTATACATCCTATCAAATCTCTCTTCTCTCTCTCTCGCGATATGTCTTAATTAGCCATATCTTATCACTAATCACTAAATCATACTGGATGATAATTTTTATTTCTTTTTGCCATTAATTATTGCAAAATGCATAAAAACAGTGATAAAAGATTAATAAGTAATTTGGTATTACTAAATACAATTAATAAAACCAATTTGTATTCTCAAATTTTGCTAATTTCTTCACTCGAATACAAACTTTTACTTGCTTACTCGAATACAAACTATTCAATTCATCAATGATCATTGAATTTGTTAATTTCTGTAACTTCTTTCTATTCATAAATATTCGCTGTGAATAATTTTCATTTTTGAAAGTACTAATATGAACCAAATTGATAATAATTGTGATGATTAAGTCTCCTGACGCACAGGTGGCACGTTTGATTTCACGTTGCTGATCAATAAATGAAGGTCACATTCAGGTTACTTTTGCAGATTTGCAGATTGCTCTCTTCCTTATAAAATTGATTTAATCAGCAAAATCATTTCATCACATCTATCTATTTGACATATAAATTAATTTTAAAAATCATTCCTTAGGAAATAATTTTTTTTTTTTTCTGCTTCATAATTTCTAGTATTTATTTTATCACTCATTTCAGAAAATACTTAAAGTAACTTACTTTCAGTTAATCAGAAGAAATAATTGATGTTATTGCAATAAGGTCATGTGACACGATCATGTTAAACCCCGTTTCACTCTTGATAGCTATAAAAATCCCTTGCTGCTTTGCCTCTAAAATTCTTCTTTTTTAAAACATTCAAACAATAGATATGGAGTAATTTAACAAATAAAATAAGGATAGATCTAAAATCTAAAAGTCAAACTACGTATCTCACATGATTCGATTGGAATGATTTATTTCACATTTCTTAAGTTAGACCAATCAACATTAATTCATTTCAAGCAATTAATAAATACTATCGGCAGTGAAGTTTTAAATGGAATAATCACTAATAATTTAAATATTCTTTTAACCTAATTTACTTTTGTTGACATTGAGGAGCGCTACTGGTTCACCAAACATCATCACTATGTTTCATTATGCAACTTGCTTCACTGAAATTTAACGTGGATTCAATTAATTAAAATCAGCATTTCAATAATTAACCAATTTTAATTCACTTTGTTCCACTTAATTAGTGTGTACCTCTTTTGAGGACTGTTAATGTCTTCAAGTCAATGCTAAGGTTTAAAAAGTTCAATTTCATATTTAAGTTCAATTTTTTAAAATTCTTACAACTAGTAATTTTGCTTTTTTTATTATTTTTTAAAATCAAAATTTACTTTCATTAATAATTGCTAATAAATAAATTTACCAGGAGAGAATGACAAATCTCTTTTAGCAAGTTCGGATACTGCACAGTAAACTCTGACGATAACATATACTTCCATAAATACTGATAACAAATTCCATACTGCAAACAACTAGTCGAATTGATAATATCAGTTATAAATAAAAAAGCATGCAATTAATAAGTGGTAAAGCTAAGAGAAAGCATGCAATAAGTGAAAGTAAATGTAGAAGTAGTCTAAAAAAAATGCATGCATTAATATTGACAAAAACGAACTAAGTAGTTAAAAAGAAAGTGATCAAAGTTAACAAAAAAGCATGCTTTAATATTAACAAAAATGAACTAAATAGTTAAAAAAGAAAGGTCATCAAAGTGGATAAGAAGCATGCAGTGAGTAAAGTTAGCCAAAATTCATGCAAAAATAAAATTAATAAAAAAGCATGCAAAGTAAAAAAAAGGTAATCAAAGTGAATGAGCATGCAATTAATAAACATTAAAATTAACAAAAAAGCACGCAATTAATAAACATTAAAATTAACAAAAAAGCATACAATTAATAAATAGTAAAGTTAACAATAAGCATTCAGTAAGTAAAAAAAAAAAAAAAAAAAAAAAAAAAAAAAAAAAAAAAAAAAAAAAAGGTAATCAAAGTGAATGAGCATGCAATTAATAAACATTAAAATTAACAAAAAAGCACGCAATTAATAAACATTAAAATTAACAAAAAAGCATACAATTAATAAATAGTAAAGTTAACAATAAGCATTCAGTAAGTAAAGTTAGCCAAAATTCATGCAAAAACAAAATGAATAAAAAAGCATGGAATTAATAAAAAAATATGCAAAGCAAAAAAAAAGAGGTAATCAAAGTGAATAAGCATGCAATTAATAAAAATTAAAAACAACAAAAAAGCATGCAATTAATAAATAGTAAAGTTAACAGAAAGCATGCGGTGAGTAAAGTTGGTCAAAATTCATGCAAAAAAATAATTAATAAAAAAGCATAGAAATAATAAACATTGAAATTAACAAAAAAGCATGCAATTGATAAATAGTAAAGTTAACAGAAAGCATGCAGTAAGTAATGTTAGCCAAAATTCATGCAAAAATAAAATAAATGAAAAGCATGCAAAGTAAAAAAAAAGGTAATCAAAGTGAATAAGCATGCAGTTAATAAACATTAAAATTAACAAAAAGCATGCAGTTAATAAACATTAAAATTAACAAAAAAGCATGCAATTAATAAATAGTAAAGTTAACAGAAAGCATGCAGTAAGTAAAGTTAGCCAAAATTCATGCAAAAACAAAGTTAATAAAAAGGCATGGAACTAATAAACATTAAAATTAACAAAAAAGCATGCAATTAATAAATAGTAAAATTTAACAGAAAGCATGCAGTAAGTAAAGTTAGCCAAAATTCATGCAAAAACAAAATTAATAAAAAAGCATGCAATGTAAAAAAAAAGGTAATCAAAGTGAATAAGCATGCAATTAATAAACATTAAAATTAACAAAAAGCTATGCAATTAATAGATAGTAAAGTTAACAGAAAGCATGCAGTAAGTAAAGTTAGCCAAAATTCATGCAAAAACAAAATTAATAAAAAAGCATGCAGTTAATAAACATTAAAATTAACAAAAAGCATGCAAAGTAAAAAAAAAAAGGTGATCAAAGTGAATAAGCATGCAGTTAATACAACAACAAAAAAAGAAATTATTAATATAAGCTAGTAAGATACTATTACATAATTTTAATTAACTAAAAAAAGCATGCAATTAGTAAAACTACAAGGAGTGTAAATCACTATCTTAGTAAAATATAAAGTATTATACAGTAAAAAGTTAGCGAAAAGCATGCATTAAGTACAAGTGAGGAATAAATGCGAAAAGGAAGGTAAGAAAAAACTAAAACAGAACCTATAAAAAATGAATGGGGGCATCTAAAACTACAATAAAATTTATAAAAAAATATGTTACTAGTTAAAACTAAAGAAATGCGGCATGCTTTTTAATAATAAATCCAAAATTATAATTAGAGATTTAAAAATCTAAAAATTCAAAAACAATTCCAGTAAGTAATTAAAAAAAAAAAACAAAATTAAAGCAAATAATTCAACCTTTAAATAAACCTCCCAAAAGTCGACAATTCAGACTAATTTCAATAATTTTCAAGATAATTCAAAAATTAAAAAGCCAAAAAGGGAATAGAAAATTGAGGAAATGAAAAAGATTATAAAAAAACACAAATATTTAAAAATTTAAAAAAATCAGAAAAAAAACTAAAATTTAAATAACTCAGAAATTTTCAAAACTCAACTAGAACAAAAAATATATCCCTAGAAAAGTTTCAAAATTTCTTAAAAATCTCAGACTCTACTAATTTTAAAAATATTCAATTAGTAATAAAAGATATCTAGAATACAAAAGCCAATTCAAAAAGCTTCACGATTTACGAATTTAAAATTTCTTTCAGAATTTCAAATGTTCCAAAATTTTCCTCACATACTAACTCATAAGTTACATCGAGGGTAGGTATAACTCTACCTATACCTACTCTCGATCTCTTCTACCACAAAATAACTTATTGGGTACCAAATGGCAATTCAACAAAAAAAATTAAACCTAGAAATTATCAAATTATTCAATGATACCACTATTTTCTAATTCGATAATTCAAAAAATCAGGTTAAATGTAGGAAATAGCTTCAAAATTACTCAGTTCCAAAAAAATATGTTTAAATGTAAAATATTGCCATTTACTATCTAATATCTAATATGATATTAAAATATTCTAACAAGACAAAATAAACAATCATGATATTAGTAAACATAACCAACAAACTTATTACAAGAAACGCAAAATCAAATATGCACAATAATACGCATAATAAATTAGATGAAAAATGAAAAAAATAACAGAAAAATTAACAGAAAAGAATTAGATAACACTAAAATAAAAATGAAAACATACGTAGTAAAAAAGTATTAAAAATTACAGGTAAATTAATGTAAAATGTGAAAAATGGAAAAAAAAATCCATAGATTATTTCAAAAAAAAAAAGAAACAAAATCATTAGTAATAACTATAAAATTATTAAAAACATCAAAAATTTCATAATAATAGTTAAATTAGAAACAATAAAATAGAACAATAAACTTTTAAAAAAGTTAGTTGCCCAGAGAGGGCAAAAAAAAAAAAAAAAATACAACAAAACACAACAAAAAACTGATAAAGAAAAAACAACTGAATTCAATCAAGTTTGATCTAAAGTAGCTATTTTCGAATTTTGTTCGCGAAAAAGAAATCCCTTTCACAAACTTTTTGATTCTCAAATACGACCACAAACAATTAATATTAACATATGCTAGTATGAAATGAATGAACTTTATGACTCATTTTTTCACTATTTTTTTTTTTTTCACAAAATTCACAATTTCTGATCAAACTCTGAATTCAGTTGTTTTTACATTGTAAATTATAAAAACAAAATTTTTTCACTAATTTTTTTTTATATTTTATTTTTTTTTTTAATTTTTTTAATTTTGTTAATTTTTTTTTAATTTTTTTGATTTTTTTTGTTTTTTTTTATTTTTTTTTTCATTTTTTTGTTTTTTTTTTATTTTTTTTCATTTTTTTGTTTTTTTTATTTTTTTTTGATTTTTTTTATTTTTTTAAATTTTTTTCATTTTTTTTTAGCGCAATACTAACCTGCTTCGGGCAGAAGACTGGAGAGCTGGGACAGGCAGTAGCAGGTCAGCCGCGTGAGGAGGGCCGGATGTTATCACTGGCCTGAAAGAAAAATTGCTGGTTAGAAAAACTATGAAATCCACTTTCTGAATGTTTTGTTTTCTGTACATTCGAATTTTTATTTCCTTTTCAATTTCAAATTTCATTTCTTAGATATTAATAATTTCTCACCTGGAATGAAGAGGTGGTTGGCATCCTCTTCTCTCCCCACTAAGTCAAGTCTGCGGCGCTTGACCTGCCTTTCGTTGATCACGGCCGCACACGCTCTCGGGCACCAATCGAGAGCGTGAACTTCTGTCGCCGCTCTCTTTTGCGCGGCCGTGAATCCGGGTGGCAGCAGGAGGTAATGGCCACAACGAGCGCAAAAACCTGAAATATTCATAATGAATTAGTCCGCCAACATTTAGATAAATCAAATATGCTAATGTTTTTAAAAACTAATTGCAAATTCCGCTTAGAAGTACTTACCATCCTGCTTATGCATTCTCGAGGCGTGAATACGCCACCCTTTCAATGTAGCAAACTGCCTGCCGCAGATACCACACACTGAAAATAGAAGTGATTAGAAGATAGTAAAGAAGTACAAACTGTTTTTTAAAGCATCGATAACATTGTAACATTTCACTCATAAATATGATTTTGTCAGTAAAAGATTAAAGTATGATTATATTCCTTTAAAATATTACAAACATAAAATCATCTTCTAACGTTATTAAAATTATAAATTACCGATGTTCCTCTCTTCATTCGCTTGAACCACCGTGTATGGTTCTGCTTGCGGCACTAGCAACTCCCGTCGGAGCTGCTCCGGAAGATCCCCTAAATCAGCGGGGTGGAATTCTTCCGGTGCTGCCGCAACCGATGTATGCGTCGCCAGAACCGGAATATTAATCGTCCTCGTCCTTCTGAAATAGTTTCAAATTTGGTTTAAATTATTCAGCAGATAAAATTAACAAAAAGTTAGCAATTGTTCTAGTTATTACTTTGTTTACTACATGGTTACTACATTTATTTCAGATATCAAAGCTTACAGGACGAGTTCGCGAACCGATTCGACCGGTTCTGCGACGGCATTTGGTGCCACCGGTGCCTCAGTTTCTTCATCGCTTTCCGGCAGAGGAGCCCACTCTGCTTCCGTTGGCCAATTCTCGGCCTCATCAGCATCATTAGTTTCAGGCAGAGGGGCCCACTCTGCCTCTTCTTCGTAAAATGCCTGCTCCTGAGGCACCGGTTCTTCTCCATCCTGCCCTTCGACCTCCGACCTCCTCTCCGTATCCTCCAAGCAGGTTAGGAGCAGGTCTTCAATCTGAAAAGACCACATTTTAAGAAAGTACTTTCTATAACTCTTCATATAAATTAGAAGTATAACTCTTTCTATAATCCTTAATTGATGACAAAAAAGAAAAATGAATTTACCTGCTCCCTTTCGCGCATATATTCCTGTAATGCACGGAGCATTACAGGTTCTCGTTCTAGATATACCAGAACATCGGAAATAGTCCGATGTTCTGGATTTTGGGCGACACGCGAGCCCACCCTATAAAATCATCAAATTAATCAGATGCAAATTGATGATAAAACAACGCCAAATTATGCGTTCCAATTATATTAAAATTGATCACAATACTACTTATATCAATCATCAAATACCTTGCAATTTTTCTTTAACGCAATTCTAATTTAAGAAAAAAAAATTGAAAAAATAATTTATAAAAACATTTCCTACTTAAGTAATATTTCCTATTGAAGGGATATATGCAAATATCTACTTACTTTCTTTTGATGCACTCGATAAACGGCGCTATAAATCTCAGCATGTCGCACAAAAATTGATATTTTTCCTGAAATTAATTTCTCGATTATATTTTGGAAAATTTCGCACAATTTCATCTTTTTTAAGTCATCAAATACCCTACAATTTTTTTTTTAACCCAGTTCCAATTTAAGAAAAAAAAAAAGTTGAAAAAATCATTTATGAGAATCATTTAAAACATTTCCTACTGAAGTAATACTCTCTCGCGCTCGGAGAATATATGCAAATATCTTATCTTACTTAATTTGCACGAAAACTCGGTGTATACCATTCAACCCATTTGCCCTTCACAGGGAATATCATTTGATCATATTCTCGATCTCTCTAGCACATCCCAATCTGATGTCAGTCGTCATACTATGCTGGTAGCCACCATCTTCACGTCCATGGTTCTTATGTATCCTTTTTTTATTTATTATTAAGTTATGGTTGTATTAAGATTCTTTTTGTTTCGATTACATGCCTGAATATCATTTGGTTATTCCAACGAATCGTTTTTTTTTTTTTTTTTTTTTTTGAGGTATGTTGTTGAATAAAAATGCATTGATTCAAGCTAATCAGCCATTTATTGTTTTTAATTGCTATTAACAGAATTAGCAATTTCTTATTGTTGTGATACCAATTCATTTGAATCATTTTGCAGTAATTATGTATTACCACTTTTCATCGTTAGTTATTAATATATATTAATTCTGTTTGATTTCTGTTTTGATTAAAAATTCTGCTATAATTGTTTGAAATTGTTGAAGTTAATAAAATGTTAATAGTGACACAATTTCACCACGTATATAATTTTTGGATTAGGCATCTATTATGCTTGCTAACATGCATTCTACTAGACATCTGTGATTTTAAAAGTTTTTTAACGTGACTTTATAAATTTTGACTGCTTACGTAGCTGTGAGATCGACAGGAGACGTTGAATGGTGAATGTTTTAGTTAAGAAAGAATTTCCAAAAATAATAGCAATTGTGTTTCTTAACGATATGCGTATAAAATTAATACTCCATATAACAATGGAAAGCTCATCTAAAGGAATCGCAAACTAATTTTCCAGGTTCAAATATTTCTGCCGCGTTCTCGCTTTCGAATTTGCTTTTACCGCGCGCACTCCCTAGCGAATTTCTATTTTTCCCACATTCTCCTAAGTATGTCTGTCACTCGCACTTATCACGAATTTCTATTTTTGCCCTCCCAAATTTCTATTTCTGCAAGCACAAAATATTATAGAGCAATATTATGATTCAATATTCTGAGGAAGAATTTTACTTGCCCAGTTTCTTTTTTTTTTTTTGATAGCTTTCTAAAAATTATCCTTCAGCTCTAATGAAATAATCGAATTTCCATTATTAATTGTTGTGGCGGTTATTATTTCATAACAGCCACAAACTATTTCTGTATTCTCATTTATATTTATTCAATTAAAAACAGACAGAATAATCTTGCAAATGCATTACAATATTTCACTACTACCATTATGATCCCAAGCAAAAATCATTTACATGAAAGTTGCATCATTTAAGACACATATGGAGTCTGAATACCTTTGACTAATTGGAAAAAATAAATAATACAGAGTGTCTCCTCAACTTTATAGAGCTACCGATGTTTTCTTGTTTCTCAAATATATTGCCTATACATTCGCAAAACTTCTACTCAAAAATGATATAAAATGTGATAGTGAAAAGTTACTAGAACTATAGTTTCACATCGATCACCGTTACTCTGTCAATTCTAGAAAAATTCCTTAATGGACATAAGACGATTACCTCCTTTACCTTCTTTGAAACTATCTTTTTGATACCCATAGAAAAAATAATACACACCAACATTAAGATGTTCAAGATACAAATGAAATCTATGAACAGGATGCGCTTGTAACGAGACAAATCATCTCAATGATTCCACATAACTTCTTTCTTCTAGTTCTTGTATGAAGGGCCTAAAATAGAAAAAATCATCCGAATAAAAGTATAATACAAATTTGAAATATTGACCTAGAAAGCGACTAAAAATGATAACAGAAGTGTTACAGTTACTCCGGATGCTTTTTTACAATGAAAGCTAAAATGATCACTAAAATATTTGTTTAAGCATTTAATTAATGTGAATAATATGCATACCCATGATTTCGTGATTAGTTGAAATCAAAATGGATACCCGGAAAAATTTTTTACCAGTAAAGTTTTCCGCAAAAAAACTTTTTTTTTTTCCGAATAACCCAGGAAAGCGACTGATTAAAAATTTCAATGTGAGTTTACAAAACTCACTCTGACATACAAACATTTTCGGTGAGCGGAAGTTATCACAGTCAGCAGCCATCCACTCTCCTGCGTAAGCTGCGTAAACACAATTTTTGTTGTCTGTTATATCCGGTTGTCCTGTACGCCAAAAGAAAAAATGTGTTCGAGTTCCATAGGTACTAGTATCCCAATACCAATCCCTCTTTCCTGCAGGAATATGCTACCAACTTTAATCTCGAAGTTTATATGAAATAAAACCAACTGATCCTAAGGTGATATTTTAGCCACGAACTCTCATCTACAATTCCATGCAATGTATTAAAAATAACAACCAGTCAAATAGAAGAGAAAATCGTAAGTTAAGAAGCAAAAAGGATTTGCTATATTCTCAACATTTACCGTTTTTTTTTTTTTTTTTTTTTTTTAAATTTGATGAATTTACTAAGCTTCTCTAAATCCTGAATAATGAATTATGGAAACTCTACAATCAAATGTTATAGAGTCGTAGTCACCGAAATAAAATTATACCTCTTCTCAATCCAAGCCAGAACGACTTCCCACCAGCAAGTCCTGTAAATAAATTTTTATTAAGGCCTAACAAACCTTCAATAAAAATGTTCAGTCAGTTATAAAATTTCAATAATGAAAAAATAGATTATTATCGAGTAGTTAACAATTCTCCCCTCAATTATGACTTTCAAATAAATTTTCATATAATTCAAAACATATATTTCTTTAAAGAAACAATAACAAATACTGGCTCAATCTTACCATAAGCTGTATGTGCCTCCTCCTTATTCCTAATTTTGACTATTTCACTATCCAATAAATTGCAAACTGTTCGGATTGCAAAACGAGGCATGAAGTTAGTAAAACCCTGAAACAGTACTACGTTAGTATGTCTGCAAATCCTACTATTTCAGACAAATTAAGACTCATTCATTCTATAAATAGACATAGAAAAATATTGAATGATAATAGGTTTAGTATTATATATAATATAACTATTCTTAAGTATGACGTATGCTGCATGCATTAATCTCCTTGCAAATCTTTCTGCTCTACAATGACACCTAGTCATGCATAATATCAGAATGTTCAAGAACTTTCGATGAGATAAACAATCTAAGGTTAACGCCAACCCAAAATGACGATATAAGGCCGAAATTGTAGCTAAATAGATGATTAAAAAAATATAAAAACGAACCGCGATATAGCAGTAGTCATGACGATAAACAAATGATGTTTGACATTTCTGACCTAAAACAAAAATCATCTAGATGATGACCAGATAAAGAAACAATTTAATAATACCAGATATTTTGCAGAATTGAATTGCAGTAAGTAGAAAGCAGGAACAGAAAACATTGCTTGAACAGCAGAACTATCCACAATATTTCTATTAAAAGGATAAGTTTATGTGAAAAAAGGTGCTTCCAAAGAATTTCAAAATGTTTGTAGAATAAAGTACAAAAATGAACGAAAGAAATAAAAGTTTCTTGGCACCAACCTAATTCAATACTAATTTTTAACTTTATCACTGAATTTTGAGCTAATTATACTCATCTAAATTAAGCTATAATTATATCTAATCAAAAACCGCATTTCATTCAAAGTGTAAAAATTAGCAATATTTTCAATAAATCTTTTACACAACTAATAATAATATCTGTTAAAAATGCTCCCTATTTAACAGTCAAAGAACTGACCTCTGTATGCAGTGGCATTATTCAGAACGGATGACCGAGACACTTTTTCTGAAATAAGAGAAAAAAATAAATAGGAGATCACCAACATTGTCTCATTTCATGTTTCTATGACAGGAAATAGAAATAAGATGAAGAGATTGGTGATTGCTCTGAATTTTAGCGAATGATTAAGTTACAACATTTGTCCGCATATTTAGTTCACTTTTGTACTAATTTTACTCCCAAAAATTTCTATCTCATCTTCATATTTTAGTATTTCCAAAACAAATAATGATTGTCCAAAGTGATCTTAATGCGAACGTTTATATCAGCTAGTTTCCGATGATATTTCCTTATTTATTGCATTTATTGGAAGAAATTAATTTTGGAAATCGACTTGATAAATTAGAGGGAGAAGATTTAATCGATATTACTTCTGAATTTTTCAGGATTGAGTGACTGGTATGTGTGTAAACATGAGATGTATCCCTTATTATATATTGTATATCTTAGTGATCCTCTGATTTTGTTCGATTTCGAATTCTTGTGATAAAATGTTCAAGTCAGTATTTAGTAGGATTCTTTTGTGCATGTTGATTGCAGTCATTTTGGATAGTTGGACGGTCTTGATACTTCCCGTTTTTGTTTGTAATGATTGTACTGTTCATAATTCCTCATGTACTTTAATAATAATCTCATTGATTTCAAGTTTTTTTTTGATGTTTTTGCATTTCAACATTTCAGGAGCATCAAATACTGGAAGAGAATTTTCGGAAACACAAATTCTTGTGGATAGTTAATAGATTTGGAATTAATAGTTCTCTAAACAAATTACGATATTACTTCTGAATTGAAAATTAGAGGTTAGAGGGAAAGAAAACTGAATCAAACTGAGTACAATTATCGTTTCTCATCCTAAATAATAACACACATATTAATTTATTTAAATGCATTTAAATGCGTGTTCGAAGTTATACTGAGGAGTTTTATTTATTATACAGTGATATACAGACAGCAAGCGAATCACAACAAACGTATATTGCTCGTTAGGTGGATAGCATCCAATATATTTAATTAATGAATAGCTAGCTATGTTCAGGGATGGAATTTAAATTCATTTATAGATTTTGATTTAAGAACAATCGAAGCATGGGTATAGCTAATAATATTTCCTTATTGTAGTCTGGGAGAACTCTTCAAAAATACTAAATTTTTCCAGCATTATGAATAAAATTATATGTGAGATTCAAAATTTTTATTAATAGTAGAGTAGAGAGTGTGTTAAATTTGAACTTAATTGAATTGAATATTTTAAAATATTTTAAAATATTGTAATTTGAACTTAATTGAATATTTTCTGTGCTCTCTATGGGCACTGGCCACATTCGATGTGGTCATTTTTCAATTTAAATAATTTTAATAATTCAGTTTTAAACATTATTTCAGCATTAAAATTAATTTTATTAAGTTCTTGTATTAGCAATTTTCAATTTAATTAAGTGTCTAAACAACTAAAAAATATAATTTAATTTGAAAAAAGACATAATTTGAACTTAATTTAATATTTTCTATGCTCTGTATGGGCACTGGTCACATTCGGTGTGGTCATTTTTCAATTTAAATAATTTTAATAATTATGTTTTTAACATTATTTCAGCATTAAAATTAATTAAATTTTTTAACAGTGATAGTTTTAAATCATTCTCGCAATTAAAAATAAATTTTAATATTAAGAAAATGCCGCAATTTGTGTTAGATTTTGCATATTGAACCAAAAAATAAGTTCTTGAATTAGCAAATTTCAATTTAATTAAGTGTTTAAACAACTAAGAAATATAATTTAATTTGAAAAAAGACATAATTTGAACTTAATTGATTATTTTCAATGCTCTGTATGGGCACTGGTCACATTCGGTGTGGTCATTTTTCAACTTAAATAATTTTAATAATTGAGTTTTAAACATTATTTCAGCATTAAAATTAATTTTTTAAGTTCTGATATTAGCAAATTTCAATTTGATTAGGAGTTTAAACAACTAAAAAATACAATTTAATTTGAAAAAAGACATAATTTGAACTTAATTTAATATTTTCTATGCTCTGTATGGGCACTGGTCACATTCGGTGTGGTCATTTTTCAATTTAAATAATTTTAATAATTGAGTTTTAAACATTATTTCAGCATTAAAATTTTTTAAATTTTTAAACAGTGATAGTTTTAAATCATTCTCCAATTAAAATTAAATTTTAATTAAGATTTAAAATTTTAATATTATTGCAATCAGTATTAGTTACTGTATATAGAATTTAAAAATAAGTTCTAGTAATAGCAAATTACATTTTAATTAAGTGTTTAAACAACTAAATAATATAACTTAATTTGAAAAAAGACATAATTTGAACTTAATTTAATATTTTCTGTGCTCTCTATGGGCACTGGTCACATTCGATGTGGTCATTTTTCAACTTAAATAATTTTAATAATTGAGTTTTAAACATTATTTCAGCATTAAAATTAATTTTTTAAGTTCTGATATTAGCAAATCTCAATTTGACTAGGAGTTTAAACAACTAAAAAATATAATTTAATTTGAAAAAAGACATAATTTGAACTTAATTGATTATTTTCAATGCTCTGTATGGGCACTGGTCACATTCGGTGTGGTCATTTTTCAACTTAAATAATTTTAATAATTGAGTTTTAAACATTATTTCAGCATTAAAATTAATTAAATTTTTAAACAGTGATAGTTTTAAATCATTCTCGCAATTAAAAATAAATTTTAATTCAAATTTAAAATTTTAATATTAAGAAAATGTCGCAATTTGTATTAGATTTTGCATATCGAACTAAAAAATAATTTCTGGTATCAGCAAATTTCAATTTAAATAGGTGTTTAAACTGCTTAAAAATATAATTCAATTTGAAAAAAGACATAATTTGAACTTAATTGATTATTTTCTATGCTCTGTATGGGCACTGGTCACATTCGGTGTGGTCATTTTTCAACTTAAATAATTTTAATAATTGAGTTTTAAACATTATTTCTGCATTAAAATAATTTTTTAAGTTCTGATATTAGCAAATTTCAATTTGACTAGGAGTTTAAACAACTAAAAAATATAATTTAATTTGAAAAAAGACATAATTTGAACTTAATTGATTACTTTCTATGCTCTGTATGGGCACTGGTCACATTCGGTGTGGTCATTTTTCAACTTAAATAATTTTAATATATAAGTTTTTAACATTATTTCAGCATTAAAATTAATTAAATTTTTAAACAGTGATAGTTTTAAATCATTTTCGCAATTAAAAATAAATTTGAATTCAAATTTAAAATGTTAATATTAAAAAGTGCTGCAATTTGTATTAGATTTTGTATATCGAACTAAAAAATAATTTCTGGTATAAGCAAATTTTAATTTAATTAAGTGTCTAAACAACTAAAAAATATAATTTAAATTGAAAAAAGAGGTAATTTGAACTTAATTGAATATTTTCTGTGCTCTGTATGGGCACTGGTCAAATTCGGTGTGGTCATTTTTCAACTTAAATAATTTTAATAAATAAGTTTTAAACATTATTTCAGCATTAAAATAAATTTTTTTATGTTCTTGTATTAACAATTTTCAATTTAATTAAGTGTATAAACAACTAAATAATATAACTTAATTTGAAAAAAGACATAATTTGAACTTAATTGATTATTTTCTATGCTCTGTATGGGCACTGGTCACATTCGGTGTGGTCATTTTTCAACTTAAATAATTTCAATAAATAAGTTTTAAACATTATTTCAGCACTAAAATTAATTAAATTTTTAAACAGTGATAGTTTTAAATCATTCTCGCAATTAAAAATAAATTTGAATTCAAATTTAAAATGTTAATATTAAAAAGTGTTGCAATTTGTATTAGTTTTTGTATATCGAACTAAAAAATAATTTCCGGTATCAGCAAATTTCAATTTAATTAAGTGTCTAAACAACTAAAAAATATAATTTAAATTGAAAAAAGAGGTAATTTGAACTTAATTGAATATTTTCTGTGCTCTGTATGGGCACTGGTCACATTCGGTGTGGTCATTTTTCAACTTAAATAATTTTAATAAATAAGTTTTAAACATTATTTCAGCACTAAAAATAATTTTTTATGTTCTTGTATTAACAATTTTCAATTTTATTAAGTGTATAAACAACTAAATAATATAACTTAATTTGAAAAAAGACATAATTTGAACTTAATTGATTACTTTCTATGCTCTGTATGGGCACTGGTCACATTCGGTGTGGTCATTTTTCAACTTAAATAATTTTATTAATTATGCTTTAAACATTATTTCAGCACTAAAATTAATTAAATTTTTAAACAGTGATAGTTTTAAATCATTCTCGCAATTAAAAATAAATTTGAATTCAAATTTAAAACGTTAATATTAAAAATATGTTCCAATTTGTATTAGATTTTGTATATTGAACTAAAAAATAAGTTCTAGTAATAGCAAATTTCAATTTAATTAAGTGTATAAACAACTAAATAATATAACTTAATTTGAAAAAAGTCATAATTTGAACTTAATTGATTACTTTCTATGCTCTGCATGGGCACTGGTCACATTCGGTGTGGTCATTTTTCAACTTAAATAATTTTAATAAATAAATTTTAAACATTATTTCA